TTGATGACTTAGATATTGAGCAGTGCAAACTTGGTAATAAGCCTTTACTTCAACATGGACAAATTTAACCCCCGCCCCACTAGCCACAGTTATAGCCAGGAAGCTACTGATGTACGATCTTGGGACAAAGACCTTCTCAAATGGCAAAGAGAAGACAATGCACCCCTTCTGCTGGCAGACAGATTGAAGAAGCAGCAAGAGGAAAGGGTACAGTGATTATATTTGCTCTGAAACTCACCAGTCAGGTAAGTTTCTCATTCTCCAGAGAAAAGATTACCATGAGGACTAACAGAGACTGGGGATGTGACCCTAGTGTCAGATTTTTTTATTACTAGAATTAACACAGTTTCTCATTCACATGGATTAGTCTAAAGATTTAAGAAATGTTCATAAGGCTGGGGCTATAGCTCAGTGGTAGAGCCCTTGCCTCACACACATGAGGCCCTGAGTATGATCCTCAGCACCACATAAAAATAAAATAAATAAATAAATAAAGATATTGTGTCCATCTACAACTAAAAAAATATATATATATAAATATATGTTCCTATAAGTTAATCAAGGCATGTACCCCTTAATGGTTTCACCTGTTTATCAAATCGATCTCTTTTTTTTTTTCAAACATATGTAGGACTCTCACCATTTACAGGTTTTCCATAACTAATTTACTTTCATTTTCTTCATCTCTCAATTTCTAAATTTCCATCTCTCTCCCTCCCTCTTTTTCTCCAGGCCTGGCCATTTGTTTTTCAAATATTCTCTTTAGCTCTCTGTTGTGAGCACAGGACGCTAATAACTTTCATGTATTCAAAAACATCATAATTGTTCACCTTCACTAACCTAGATTAGATAATTCCACCAAAACACTAACAAACTCTGGCCTGAATTTAATGTTCTGCCTACCACACCTTTAATGTGTTTCTACTGGTTTATGTCTTCCCTTCAAGTCCCAATTTCCTCATCATTTAGCATGTTCTCATGGGACACAGGATTCTCCTTCTGAGTCTGCACTAGTAATATTTTGTCACCTCTATATCTAGCCAGCCAATCTTTGAAGAGTGTATACTAACCTCTTCTCTCAAATCAGTCCCAATTTTCTCTAACTATTTGGCATAATTGCCCATTCCTCAAGGGGTGGTCACCACTTGCTCCTCTTAAGTGTGTGGTTGAAAAAAAAAATAAGTAAATAAATTCTAAGACCCATTCTTGACTAGAGGCTGGGGATTGAGACAAATGATTTGTGATGCCAGCTGCCCCAAATCTGCCTAAACTTCCAGAGATCCCACTACTTCATCAAAGTTAGAATCCCGGGATCCTCTATCACATATATATCAAAGGAAGAGAGCAATTTTAAAATTTACTACTCTGATTCTTGGAGCACTTTAGTAGATTAGCAGATGGTAAGGAACACAATGGGAAGTACATTAGATAAACAATGGGAAGTACATTAGATAAAAAGTAGCATTAGTGATTATGGGAGTATTGTGTATTTTGTGTTTTTATATGATTCTCTTAGAGGCACTCATCATTCATTTGTAAAATCCAAAGAATAATGAAAGAAAGTCTGTGATTTATTAGAGTAGTTTAAATAAAAATTTTTTCAGGCAAATATATTAAATTGTATTTATGTATTAAGTTGCAAAATCATATTCATATCTATTTTTTGAATGTCTGAAAGAGTTTATAATAAAAATAGTAGGTAAGTTCGTATAATTCTGAACTTGGGCCAACCAAACATCAAAATGTTAGATTTTAAAGAGCTGATAAAACCTGCTAGAGTGTGAGCATGTCCCCCAGTGGTTTATGTGTTAGAACCTCCATTCCTTAAGGCAGCAGTATTGGGAAGTGGAACCTAGTGAGAGGTATTTGGGTCAGGGGAGCAGAGAGCATTCATGAATGGATTGATGCCTTTCTGTAGAACTGGGTTAATTCTCATCTGTGGTGAGTTCTCATTCTCTCAGCACTTGATTAATTACCTCTGGAGCAGGTTATTATGTGAGGTCATCCTTCATTCCTGTTTGCCTCTTGCACATGTGCCCACTTGCCCTTCCCCTTTTTGCCTTAAACTGAAGCAGCATGAGTCCCTCATCAGAAGCTGAGCCAGTGCTGGAAGGGCACTCTCAGACTTCCAACCTGCAGAGCCATGAGCTAAATTTTTCTTCTCTTACAGAGTCTTAGGTATGCTATTGTAACAGAAAAGGGATTAAGACAATACATCTGAGCTGGGGTTGTGGCTCACTGGTAGAGCACTTTCCTAGCATGTGTGAGGCACTGAGTTTGATTTTCAGCACCACATATAAATAAATAAAATGAAAAAAATAAACTAAAAAAATAATAAGACAATACCCTTTTTCCCTCCTCAGTTCAGAAAAAAAAAATGATAAATAGAGAAACCAGATGAAGATTCTGTCATCCTTACCACCTGTGAAGAAGCTTGGAGAATGTTGCCTTATATCTCTGGCACAGTGGCCTCACCAGCCCTGATTCCCCAAACAACTTGCCCATCCAGGCACTGGCTCTGTGGACATCCATGGAGGAAGAGCCCTCCCCATGACACAGGCAGACCTAAGCTAACCCTGTCCACGGTTGAGCAGATCTGACCATATGGGCACAAGTTGCTGAAAAGAGTGGCAAGAGGCAGGAAGAAGCTTTGCCAAATACTGGGAATGTCCTATTTCTTGATCTGTGGTGAATTTACAAATGTGTAAAATGCTACCAAGTCATAAAGCATTTATATATTTGGCCTTGTGTTTTCATCTGCTGGGGCTGCCATAAAAAAAAATGCCACGCTTGGTGTCTTACACAACAGAAATCTGTTTCCTCACAGTTCTGGAAGTTGAAAGTCAAGATCAAGGTGTCTGCAGGGTTGGCTTCTTTCTCCTCATGCCTCCGGCTGCCTTCCTCCTGTGTCCTCACATCTGCAGTTTCTCTTGTAATCCAATACAAGGACACTAGTATTAGATTAGGGCCTATCAGGGAAGCCTCATTTAACTTTACCTCTTAAAAGACTCTATTTCCAAATGCAGCCATATTGGGGATGAGGAGGCTTCAACCTGTCAATTTGCAGGGAGGGACACAGTTCAAGCCATATCGCCATTTATATATTATTCTTCAATAACGAAGGAAAAAGGCAAATGTCCATAAAGTGAGAACACTTTTATATAAAAGATTGCATTTGTTGTATGATGACTTTAAGTCATCTTCTTCTTGAGGGAGAAGTTGATAGGAAAAATTGTGCAGGAGAACTGGGTGCTTATGGAAAAGAAAGGGATAGGAGAGGAACGAGGGAGGGCTGGTGGGAAGGGGAGACATGGAAGTAAAGACCAGCTTTTCCTGCTTTCTGAGTAGAAGCTAGTGTGGGAGAAGCCAGAAGTCTTTGTCCTGGACTGGCTGGTGGACTTCCAATGATAGGGATAGAGGGAGGGAAGGATAGAGGTGTCAAGTGGTCATGGTTGTGAGGGGAGTGATAGGGCAGATGGTAGGAAGGAGGTGAGAGAAGAGACTGAAGTGGGGGGAGAGAAACGAGGAAGCAGGAGAAAGTAACAGAAGAGAGAGGGAATTTTGTCCCAACTCAGCTGCTTAATAGCTATGTGACCATGAGAAAATCACTTAATCCATGCCTCAGTTTCCTAGTCTGCTGAAAAAAGAATCCTACCTATAACATATGATCATTTATAGAACCAAATAAACTAGGCAAGTGCTGTATAAGTATCTATTATAATTACCACCCATGTTTAAAACTTAGACTTGGAATCCACAGTATAAACAAGAACTCAAGATCTGTCTCTGAGGAGAGCTAGGGATTGTGCACAGCTTGGGATGCAGTCTGCTGACTTCCTCCCTCCCAAGCTTGCAGAAGTGCATATAGCTACAGACAACTCTGAATACAGCAACTTTGAACCAACTCTGAACACAGCAACTTTAGACAGATTGCTCCATTTAGTTATACTGAGGTAACTGGGATGTGCACTACAGTTCTCATGTGATTTTATTTAAGTCTAATATCTCCCAACCTAGACCTAGTTTCACATCTAGGAAATGCTGATATTCTGCCTTCCTGTAATAAGGCCGAGCAAGAAGTCTACAGACCTCAAATGTAATTTTTCTACATGGATTATCTTACTTTTTTTCATTGAAAAAGCCCCAAAATACATGTATATATCCAGCAAAGGCCTTCTTATTATTCTCCACTTCACTGGGCTACAGGTTGATAGACCACACTAACCCCCTAAGGAGGATCACTTCTGAAATGTGAGAGTGCAAGTGTTTTGCTTAGTTTCCACATGGGCACTTTTTCTTTCCAGTACTTATCTCCAGAGACGACAACACTGTACAGAAACCAGGAGCCGAAAAACCACAGGTAATGTTTACTGCGTGCCTTTATTAAAAGTTGTTAACAGCTAATTGCATAGCATCACCCACTTAAGCACATCACAAATATTATTATTATCGTGAGTCCAAGGAACATTTCCCTGGCATAGATTTTTAATAGCTTTTAAAAAGAATATGGTCTTATAGGGGATGCCAAATTTGTGGTTTCATCTTGCGCACCCAGGAGACAGGATGTGGTTCGGCAGTTCTGGGGTTGCAGTGAGTCAGCTAGGGAGACAAATGTTTCCATGGTGACCTTCCCATTCATTCCTGTGAAGCCTCCGTATGCCCACGAGGATTAATGACATGGCATTAGCACTGATAATCATAATGAAGAGAGCTGTCTGAGAGTAGGGCAACCCAACCCTGATGTTCAGGAGGAAACCAGGTACAGGAATTTAGCCCATGTGTTGAGAAAGAACTACTGAAGTACAGGGAGAGGTAGTTCTTTGTTTTGTAGAGAAGTGTTCCTGCTGCTAACAGACTTCTGTAGTCTCCCCACTGGGAATTCTCTTCCTATTATGACAGAAAGGGGGTAGAAAAAAAAAAATAACCCAAACAAGTGATTCACTAAAGGTCCAAAGAACCAGGATGAGAGAACATGGAAGCCACACAGGTCAAAAGTCTCCTCATTTGTTTTGTTTGTTTATTTAAATACATTAAAATGTTTCTAGGAAATGCTTTTAAGGAAAGTCTTTTTACTGAGATCTTTTTCTATAGCTTCATGGCAGTACTTTGGTCCCTTCGGGGAAAGGAAAAAGACAGAAACACATTGTTTTCACATTGTGTTAATGGCAGCATTTTATTTTAGTGTTCAGAGATGTGGGGCATTGTACAACTGATAAAGTGAAACATTAGGAGCCCACAATCTGACTTAGATGCCAGCCTGGGTAAAATTATAGACACCAAGAGGGATTGCTACACTTTCCCAGAGCAAGATGCAGGTACTCACAGAGGCTCACAGAGGACTGTACCTTGTGATTTAATTGTTTGCATGGTTATCTTCTTTATTAAATTTCAAGGTTCCACAGAGCAGAAACTTCATCTCTTTATCTTATTCAACTTTGTCATTGCCAGTTCCACCCAAAGCACATGCACACATGCAAATAGATGAATTACACAGACACTCAGGCATACCTGCACATACACACACTGAGCTAACATCCTACTTTGCACACCACACTCCACGTTACTAGACACTGGTTAAATGAGTAGATTTGACCAGTATTATAAATCCTTGAATGAGGCTTAACACTTGTGTGTGATGTTTAACAATGAATGTGTGGGGTGAAATGATAATGGTTTTTAAAGCTATGTAACATTGTTTTCCTCATTTAAATGTTTAGACAAGTGGACTTGACATAAATACAATAAAAATCTGAGAGGCAGGAAATGAAAAAATATCAAGACTCTCAAAGCAGCTGGACTATTCAGATTGATTAAATCTGTCTGCAGAATGCTGATTACTGGACCTACCGCAACATATCTTGATTCATCAAATATTTATTCACCTACTTTAATAACTATTTGCTCTGTGCCAAATACTATCCTGAGTGCTTATGAATATTAATTTATTTAATCTCCTCTAAGAAGTAGACACTATTAAAATACCTATTTTGAGCAAATGCCATGACATGTACCTATAATCTCAGCTACTTGGGAGGCTGAAGCAGGAGGATCAAAAGTTCAAGGCCAGCCTCAGGGACTAAGAAAGACCCTGTCTCAAATAAAAAAATAAAAAGGGCGCAGATGTAGCTCAGTGATAGGGAGCCCCTAAGTTCAATCCCTTTATTCCTCCCACGATAAATAAATTACCTATTTTTTCAGATAAGTAAAGTGAAGTAGAAGTAATTTAATAACTTGCCTAAATTCACATAGACAATAGGGAGTGGAACTGTAAATTGAACCAAGCAGTCAGGTTCTGGGATCCTAAGCTCTAAACCATCATGTGATAATGCCAATTTCTGGCCTGGAAGCTGGGATATAGCAATAATCAAGGAGCACATAATCTTGTTTTGTTTTCATAAAGCTTAGAGTTTGAAGGGGAGACATGCTGAAAACAACCAATTATCATCACAAGTGACAAGTGCTATAGGTCAAAGGAAGAACTCTAGCAACAGATAGATGCAAATCATCCAAACCTAAAGATAGTGAGAGCAGTCATAATCAGGAAAAGAAATAGATAATAAAAGAGGTGAGTGCCAATTTCCTCCTGACCTTGTTTCCCAATGGCCTTTTGTAATGAAGAATGAATATCTCAGCTAGAAATATTGAGTCATATGCAGGAGGAAACCTTTCCAAGTGGTTCTTAAGGTCAGCCTCTGAACTTTGAGAGACATGCCTCTGGGAGGTGTGCCCCAGATCTGAAATCTGATTAAACACTGTGATAGACAGGGACTATCACACCAGGTGGAAACTGTCAGCATAGACTGGGCAGGTCAGTGTTTCCACGTAACCAAAAAGTATAGAGGTGGACATTTAAGAAATCAGGCCAAGCTGGGCATGGTGGTGCAAGCCTGTAATACGAGAGACTTGGGAGGGTGAGGCAGGAGGATTACAAGTTCAAAGTCAGCCATGGCAACTCAGCATCTTATTGAAATCCTGTCTCAAGTAAAAACTAAAAAGAACCTGGGATGTAGATGACTGGTAAAATGCCCATAGGTTCAATAACAAGTACCAGAAACAAAAACAAAATACCAGGACACTCCACAGCAGATATTGGCAAGCTCTGCTAGGGTTGTAGTGAATGCCACGGATATGAGAAAGTTTGGAAGCCAGGCACCTGTTAGGGAAGTGTTTGCAAAGATTAGTCTAAATCTTGGCTCTTCATTGAACATTCTTTATTCATCATCAGAATGTTTAATAAATATTGGGAACTTTCTATGAATCAAGTTCTATGATAAGACTGGGGTGTTGAATAGTATTATTATTATCATTGCTACATAGAGAATTTCAAACCTTCCCTTTGAAAATTCAATATTTGAGTCTACTGAAATAAATTGATAGTAGATTAACAAGAGAGAAGCCATAAGAAATTTAATTGACCACAGTTTTATGTGACATGGGAATCTTCGGATTAAAGACCCTTTGACCCAGGTTGAGCTATATATCTTTCAGTTCCTTGAAACATGGACAGTCATGTAGATATTTGACTAGATGGAAAGGGAATCATCTAATAGCAATAGACAAGGGTAGAATCCCAGCAAGGCTTAATTGTTAGGATTCCTCTTGGCCTTTTTGTATAGCATTCCTTCCCTCTGGGTATGGAACAAAAGATCCTCTGGAACGGGAAGTCTTTGACCTAAAATCAAATCAGTTAGATCAAAGAATTTCTTTACCTGGAAATTTAGGAGAAAGTTAGAGTGATATTTTGAGGTGGTTTAGCTGGCTTTGAGAAAATGAGGGTTTGGTTTCTATGATCCACCCTAGGATAAAGGATACTGAGAGGTGAGAAGCAGAAGGGCAGAAGAATATCAGAGAGGAACTTGGGTCTGAGGTCTTTACTTTGGGGTATTGTTTTCTCTATCCCTACATTATTATCCTGATTGAAGTTTTGACCTGGAAGAACTGGGTATGGAACCCAGTCCTAAATTATGTCAAAGCCAGCTCTTGAAGTAACTATGGTTTATCTCCAAAATGCTTGCTGGTGTTTGCAAATGAGGCAAAGTTAATATCATTTCACAGTATGAACTAGTGACTCATTGGATATGAATGGAGAGCTTAACCCAGAATGATCATACAGCCCCCAGAAGGTATTTGTCACTTAATGCTAATGATGCCCTTATATAAAGAATGAGAGTAAAGTCTTTGGGGAAAACAATGGAATAAATGTAAGATTTTTTTTTCTCACTTCAAAGTTTTTCTGAATTTTGAATAATAATTGATTAGCTTTTTTCATTCAACATCAATTACAACAGGATATCTATGGGCAAGACAAAGGAGAGGTCAAGAGTAGAGTTAACACTAGAGAACGATACATTTTAAAGTATCAGGAAAATGAGCAAAGAGAGTGATTGAAAAATGAACATAAATAGCACAAGTCAGGAAGTCCAAAGATTTTTTTGGACTTGTTTATTTTTTTATTTGTTTGGCTGGCTTTGGTGCTAGGGATTAAATTCAAGAGCTCTTTAAAGCACTGAACTACATGCCTAGTCCATTTTACTTTTTATTTTAAGACAGAGTCTCACTAAATTGCTAAGGCTGGCCTTGAACTTGTAATCCTCCTGCCTCAGCCTCCAAGTCACTGGGATTATAGGGGTGCCCCACTGCCAACTACATGAGTCAGAAATTTTAGAGGCCCCAGAAAACAGCTTGCAAGTGATCAACAAAAATGTGGAGAGAAAAGCAAAATGTGTCGGCAAGGAGTTAGGTCATCACAATTTTTCTGAAAAACCAAAGAATTGTAGAAAGTGTAGAGGAAATAAGGCAAGACTTGCATGGCCCATGGCAAGACTGATGCAGCCTGCTTTCCTGTTTCTGCTTCTTCAGTTCCCTTCTACTTTGCAAGCTAGCCTGGCAGGGTACAGGACACAAAGAGAACAGAAGGCAGCAACCAGGAGTCAACCTGAGAGTAGGGCTGGGAAAAGCCATCACTGAGTTCATAGAAATGATTCATGAGGCATCAATGTGGCTCCTAGTATTTCTTTTAAGTCTACCTCAAGTGCCTCAGGTAATTTAGATGAATATACCATTTATTTTCAGGGACTGAAAGATGGGAAAATCTCTCCTAAAGCATTTTAGGGCCAAAAGAACCTCATGTGCTAACCACAAACTTTAAATCTTTCTAGCGTATTCCTCCTACAACTTTGCATCTCCTGTGTGTCTTCCTTCCTAAAAGTCTCTCTTTTTTAATATTTTTTAAGTTGTAGTTGTACACAATACCTTTATTTTATTTATTTCTATGTGGTGCTGAGGATTGAACCTTTGCCTCACATATGCTAGGTGAGCACTCTACCACCGAGCCCCAACCCAAACATCTGCAGCCTCTCTTGAACATCACAAGTTTCCTGATCCACGCAGAGACCAAAAGGTGGCACATTTGGGCATCATGTAAAATGCATATTGCTGAAGACTTCAGTGTATTAAAGACACGTTATGCATGCCCTGAATTGTACCTTTATATTTGATTACAATTACTTGGTGGCTTATCCTTAGTTTATCTTGTATCATAGCTAGGATTGCTAAATATTTGGAAAAGAGATGCTAACAGCCATTATAAAATATGACAATGCTTAAACAAATATAGTTTTAATTCCAGACACGAGTCTACATAACTAAACGACTCCTTTTTAGAATGTAGGCTCAATTTAAGGTTGTTTCACTCAAATAATGTACTTACCACTTTGAAAAATCCATACCTGAATGAGTGCCAAGGCGAGATCCCCAAAACTAACCAGCTCACTCATAATGTGAACCAAAATGCAACTTCTTTATTTTAATAAGAGGGAATATCGTATGACCTACAGTGACTTGGGTAGCATGTTGGAGAGTTTTGAAGCAAAAATTTTCTTCCCTGTGTGCAAACTTCTAACTCTGAGTTAGAAGTTTGTTGCCCTTGGTCTTCCTTGGTGTTTTTGGCTGGCTTACTAAGGATTTGATGTATCATCTTTTGTCCTTTTGACTCCAGTCATTGTCTTCACTTTTCTGGTTTTTATTTATTTATTTATTTATTTTCCCCATGATATCTACTTGGTTCTGGAATATTTTTTTTTCTTTTTCTTTTTTGGTTGCTTTTTCCCCTTTGTAAAAAATGTTGTCTTGTCTTTTCAGAATTTCAAAAGGCCTCCCCAGTGACTTGAATTTGAAGAGAGCTGCAGGGTCGTAGCTCAGTGGAAAGCTTAGCATGACAGTGAAGTCCCTAAGCAGGGACTACTCTTTTCAAATAAGGAAACCTAAAAATAAAAGCTGTCTGCAGCTGGGACTGTGTGCCAAGACAACTATCACTGAAATGCAGAGGTAATTTAAAAAAAACAAAACAACATTGCTAAGACAGGATTTGGCTGTTAAATAGGTGAAACCTGGAAAAGGCCAAGTTCATAGTAGGTGGTTTATCCCTCTCAGGTAATGTGATGTGGTGGAATTTTTTTATTCATCTAAGGAATATCACTCCAACAACAGCAAGGACACAGTAGGAAGCCTAAGTCAGCCTAACTCCCTGGAAACAAGGGAGGGTGCCATGTTCCCTCCTCCCTGTGCACTTTCTTCCTTCTTGCTTATGGTTTGTTTTCCACCCATGCTACATTTAAACAGTCAGTTCCAGTCTGAATTTCTCCCACTCCTTTCCACTTTTTCTTGGACTGTACCTTTACATCATCCCAGTTTTTTGCCCCTTTAACCCCACTGTAACAACTATTTTATCTCCAGTTTTCCAACCTTTCCTTCTTAATGTTATCATCTTTACATACTTTCTCTTCCTTTTGTCTTCAGCTTGAACTGGCCCCTGGGTTATTACTAGCTTAAACCCCCAGTCTAAATTTAATATCTATAACCAGACTGTTGAAACAATTTAAGGGGAAAAAAAATACAAACATGTGGCCAAAGCTGCCAAAAATCCATGTTTACCTCCTCAGGGGGACCACCCGTGCTACTTGACAATTTCACTGTATCCTTCTTTTAGTTCCCTCAATTAAGAGACGCAAACATTATTTCAACTCTTCAAGCTTTGCGATCCTCTTTATCCTAGCTTCTATTATTTTCCTTAACATACGCCCTTTGTATGGAGAAAAGTAGGCTCTCCTTAGCACATAAGTCTACAAAATACTTCTTTCTACTTGGGATAGCTTCTCCCTTTGATCATTCTTGGTGAAAAAGTACTCCCACTACTTTCTATTTGATCACCCACTCTCTGGCTTCCCCCTCAGGTTGTAGCACCATGCTTATTTCTCTTATGTTAACAGGAAAAAAAATAATCTCAAATATATGTTCCTAACCATGTTAGCCTTGAGCTCCTCTTTTAACTTTTTAGTCGACCTGCTATGGTTTGGGTATGGAATGTTCCCCCAAAATTCATATATTAAAAGCATTGTACCCAATGCAGCAAAGTTTACCAAAGCTAGGGATTTTATGGAATGATTGGATCATGATGGCTCTGGCTACTATCATTAATGGACTACTTGAAGGTACAAATTGTTGAAGGGATTGGGTCAGTAATTAGGACATAACCTGGGGGGGATTTATCTTCTCTCCAGCCCCTTCCTTTCTCTCTGCTTCCCAGATGCGGTGAGCTAAGTAGCTTTCTTCTGCTCTGCCGGTCAGCTGTGATATTTCTGACTTGAAGCTGGACAATCACAGACTGAAACCAAGAGCCAAAAGAAAACATTTCCTCTCCTAAGTCGTTCTTGTCAGGTATTTTTATTACACTGATGAAAGGCTGAGAAGCACACCACCTGAATACTGTCATTTTAGTATATCTATTTCACAGTGTTTGTGGGTTTTTTAATTCCCTCATTTTAATAGAGCCAATTGTTCAGTTTCCAATACAGAAGATAATTTTTTTTGAGTTCTTGTGCATCTGATATGTTACTATTCTGTCCTTGTGCTTGATTCATCAGTATACTGGATACGGGATTCTATGGTGAACCACAATTTCATTCAGAATTTTGAAGGCACTAGTATCCCATCTCCAGCATCTAGTATTACTATTGAGAATTTCAGTGTTGTAATTATTGCTTATTGTTGTGGTGAATTTCAAAGTTGGATGTAAAAAAAATTTAAACATACAGAAAAGTTGCACAGATATCAATTTTTTTTCCTAAACCATCTGAAAATAAGTTACCCACCTGAAGCTTCAGCACCCTGACTACATCAGTGTATATTTCCTACAAAGACATTAATATTCTACTGTATAATAAAATGGAGCCATCAGAATCAGAAAATTAACCTTAATGACGAATTATCATTTAGTTCTTTTAACTTTTTAAGTTAGCTTTTTGGATCATATTCAAGTTTGGCCAATTGTCCCATAATGTTTATATTTGAAGAATCCTGTTCAGAATCCCCACAAGTAGGTCTCCCTAGCAATTCTTCAGGTTTTCCTGGATTTTTATTACCTGACACTTTTGTAGAAATAATTTTGTGAGATTTCCCTCCATTTGGGTTTTCTGTTTCCTCATGATGAGATTCAGCATATGCATTTGTGGCAGGACTACCTTAAAATGATGCTGTTTCTGCCTCAGTGTGTCATAATAGTTTTTTTTTTTTTAACAGACATTTTACTTTTTTCTGTTTACTTTATTCTGTTTATTTATTCATTTTTATGTGGTGCTGAGGATCAAACCCAGGGCCTTGCATGTGAAAGGTGAGCGCTCTACTGCTGAGCCATAACCCTAGTCCCTCATAATAGTTTTCTAATGCATGATATATATTTTTCTATACTTTTTACTTTTCTAGTATTACATGAAGAATGTATCTCATAGGCAACCCATTGGGTGAGCCTTTATTTTAATGTACAGTTTGACAGTCTTTATCTCTTGGTTAAAGTATTTAGATCATTTGAATTAATGTAATTTAATGTAATTGTTGATATAGTGGCATTGAAGCCTAGAATCTTGCTTTCATTTTCTATTCATTCCATTTGTTTTTGTTCCTTTTTCCCTTTTTTTCTTCTTTTAAATGACATCAATTTCAGTATTCAATCCCATCTGCACTGTGGCTTTGAATTATAAAGCTTTCCTCTATGGTTCACAATACGAATCTTTAATTTTCCACAATATAATTTTCTTAGTTACTAAATTATTTAAGTAATGTATTCAAGGAATAATAGTATTACTATTGTTGTATATTTCACTTCTATCTATATTACAAATTTAAAAAAATATATTGTCATTAATTTTGCTTCAAAGACTACTCATTTTCACATGAAAAAAAATGAAATATTAGGGAAAAATAAGGAATGTGGGAGAAGATGAAAAAGGTCCCAGAGATGAATGTTGTTATAGATGAATGCATAGCAATTGTAATGTATATGATTCCCCTGAACTATGTTCTCCAAAGGTAAAAATTATAAAATATTATGCTATATATATATTTTACAATGAAAAAGAAGCTTTTTAATTTTTTTGAATATTTATTATTTCTGGCATTCTTCACCACTTTTCACACTTCCAGATTTCTATCTCATATCATTTTTCTTCAACCCAAAGAATTTTGTTTTATATGTTTTATGGGTAAAGTCTGCTGAGAACACATTGTTGTAGTGTTTGTTCATTTTAAAAAGTCTTTATTTGCCTGCCTTTTAAAAATAATATTTTGTTGCATATAGAATTCCAGCTTGATAGTTATTTTCCTTTTATCAATTTAAAAACCTTATTTCATAACCTTCTGACTCACATTGTTCTTGAAGATCACTATCATTCTCATGTGCTACTTATTCCTTCTCACTGATTGAGCTTAACTCATTTGTTAGAGAAATAATATTCTTTTATCTATCTGCCAATGTCTGAAAACAATTGTTTCATACAATTGACCCAATTTTCCTTTTGTTTGCATAGAAAGGGCAAATCCTATGCTATTTACTCCCTCATGAAAGAAAAGGGAGTTTACCATGCCATCCCACAAATTATTTTATGTTTTACTTTCATGATCATTCAGTCTAAAATACTTTCCAGTGTTCCTTGTGATTTCACCTTTGACTGATAAGTTAGAGTCAGTTATTTAAACATTTCATATATTTAATATTTCATTCTTCTAGGCACTTATTTATTCCTAATTTACATGTATTGTGGTCAAGAATATACTCAGCAATACTGCAATCTTTTGAAATGTATTTAGACATGTTTTAGTGCTTAGCACACCATGTATATTGTTGAATATTCTATGTGCATATAAACATAACATATATTCTGAAGTTTCTGGGAGTATTCTTTCAATGTCAAATAACTCAAGGGGGCTGATATTATTGTTCTGCTCAATTACCTTTTAAAATATGCCTCTTTACATTACTTTCAGTATATGTTGAAACAATCACAATATGTATAATTAACTATCTAGTTACAGTTAACTTTATAAACTTCGAACAAAATGTAAGAATTTTGCAAAATAAGAGTTCTATATATCTGCTGCAGTCTGGCTGGGCACAAAATCAAGAGCCACTCAAGCAGGAACAAACTTTATTTCCAAAACTCCCTCGAATGCACGAGGCCTTCCCGGGACACACTCCACCAACAGAAAATCCCTCCTCCAGAATTCCCTCCTACTGCACTTCCCCAACCAATGGGAACTCTCTGGGAGTCCCTAGAGAGCTCCAAAGTAGCAGGCTGAGGCAGACAGCAGGGGTCTAATCTCCAACTGAATGCACATCTTAACATAATCATTATCATCTCAATGGCTTGCTGGCTCAGCTTTCAACCAAAAATGCCATGTGTCATTCCTACTTGGCTATGGCTCTCAGCATATATCCACTCTCCCCCACACCTTATTTTTCTTGCTGTCATATGTATTATTTCTACAAATATTTTCTCAACATGTTGTTTATAGTTTTGGTTTTCATCACATGGCTTTTGATAAAATAAATTGAACATAATTTTGTATTTGCCC